CCACGTACATGTGGGTAAAAGATCATAATTGTACAGTTTTCATAAATGTCTGTGGTGAAGCAACGGAAAAATCATGGCCGTATGATTTTTCCTGATTGATTGCTTATGTTGTTATTTTCATAATTTGCCAAATTAATGTAAATGTTTGATGTTAAATTTTGATTCTGTAAATAAATGACCGCATTCATTTTGATGGGTCAAATATAAATGACGTCTCACGTTTGCATTTCCTTAAATTCAATGCACGTTTTATTCAGTCCAGAAAAATGAGGAATCCGTGTTAAATGATGAATATATCTGAGCATCTGTTCATCTACAGTTGTGACTGGGTGCATCTGGTGTGTAAAAATATGTGTACCAGTACATGTAACATATTAGATTACACCAGGGAATATTATTACAACTAAATTAATTTTGCTAGACACCAAGCTAAGCCTATGTGGCCAAGTCAACAAGTTTCAGGCCAAGAAATGTTTTATAGTGGCAGATATTGGCATGTTTTGTTGAGAAAATCCCCTAAAAATTAATACCAAAACTTTCTATTTTCTTTCTTTGAAGAACAAAATGTTCACAAAAAACATGCTGCATTTTTTTGACAAACCATCCATCCATCCATCCATTATCTTCCACTTGCTCCGAAGTTGGGTCGCGGGGGCAGCAGATTGAGCAGGGAGGCCCAGACATCTCTTTCCACAGCCACCTCTTCCAGCTCTTCTGGAAGGACTCCAAGGCATTCCCAGACCAACTGAGAGACATAGTCTCTCCAGTGTGTCCTGGGTCTTTCCCAGGGTCTTCTCCCAGTCAGACATGCCCAAAACACCTCCCTAGGGAGGCATTATGGGGACATCCTTACCAGATGCCCGAACCACCTCAATTGGCTCCCCTTGATGTGAAGGAGCAGCGGCTCTACTCCGAGTCTCTCCCGGATAACTGAACTTCTCGCCCTATCTCTAAGGAAGAGTCAAGTTACCCTGCGGAGGAAACTCATTTCAATCGCCTGTGTCCACAATCTCATTCTTTCAGTCACTACCCAGAGTTTGTGACCATAGATGAGGGTAGGAACATAGACTGACTAGTAAACAGAGACCTTTGCCTTACAGCTCAGCTTCCTTTTCACCACAACGGAATGGCACAGAGTCCGCAATACTGCAGAAGCTGCACCAATCTGTCTGTCAATTTCAAGCTCTATTCTTCCCTCACTCGTGAACAAAATCGTGAGATACTTGAAGTCCTCCACTTGAGGCAGAACCTCACATTGGACCCGAAGAGACCAATCCACCCTTTTCCGACTGAGGACCATGTACTCAGATTTGGAGGTGCCGATTCTCATCCCAGCCGCTTCACACACAGCTGCAAACCGCTCCAATGAGAGCTGGAAATCACAGCACGATGATGCCAACAGGACCACATCATATGCAAAAAGCAGAAATGGAATCCTGAGGCCACCGAACTAGAATTCCTCCAACCCCTGGCTGCACCAAGAAATCCTGTCCATGAATGTTATGAACAGAATTTATGACAATGGGCAGCCCTGGCATAGACCAACTCCCACCTTGAAGGGGTCTGACTTACTACTAGCAATGCAAACTCTCACACCGCTTGGATAGGGACCGAACAACCCGTAGCAACGGGCCCCCAATCCCATACTCACAGAGCACCCCCCACAGTGTACCTCAAGGAACATGGTTGAAAGCCTTCTCCAAGTCCAGAAAACACATGTAGACTGGATGGACAAGCTCCCATGACCCCTCGAGGACCCTAGTGAGGATAAAGAGTTGATCCAATGTTCCACAGCCAAGATGAAACCTGCGTAGTTTCTCCTTGATCTGAAGTTTGAACAGTGATTGGACTTGTTTCTCCAGTACCCCTGAACAGGGAGGCTAAGAAGAGTTATGACCCTATAATTGGAGCACAGCCTCCGGTCCCTTGTTTTGAAGATGGCAACCACCACCCCAGACTGCCAGTCCAGTGGAACTGGCCCCAATGTCCATGCAATGTTGCAAAGGTGTGTCAACCAAGACAGCACCACAACATCCAGTCTTGAGGAAATCAGGGTGAATCTCATCTACCCCCGGAGCCCTGCTGCGATGGAACGTTTTAACTACCATGGCAACCTGAGCAACGGTTATGAACAGACCCACCCCAAAGTCCGCCAACTCAGCTTTCTCTATGGAAGATGGATGTGCATGTGGGATTGAGAAGGTCAGAGACATATTCCTTCCACCTCCCAATGACATCACTTGTTGAGGTCAATAGCACCCCACCTTCACTGAAAGCAGTGTTAGTAAAGTGCTGTTTTTCACTCCTCACCCGCCTGGTGGTTTGCCAGAATCTCCTTGGAGCCGATCGAGAGTCTTTATTCAAGGCCTCACTGAACTCCTCCCACATCCAAGCTTTTGTCTCGGCTACAGACAAGGCTGCAGATCGCTTGGCCCTTTGGTACTCCTCAACTACCTCTGGAGCCCCACCAGCCAACAAGGCCCAATATGACTTCTTTTTCAGCTTGACAGCCTCCTTAATCCAGAGTGTCCACCACAGAGTTGGTGGCCACAGCTCAAGGCAGCTAGTTCAACAATTGAGGTGCGGAACATGGCCTACTCTGACTCAATGTTCCCCGCCTCAGCTGGGCTGTGGTTAAAGTTCTCCTGGAGGTGTGAATTGAAGATCTTTTTGATGGGTTCTTCTGCCCGGCATTCCCAGCAAACCCTCACTACACATTTGGGTCCATCAGGTCTGTCCAGCATCTTCCCCGCAATCTGACCCAACTCACTACCAGGTGGTGAGTTGACAGCTCAGCTCCTCTGTTCACCCGAGTGTCCAAAACAAGCGTCCTTAAATCAGATAACACAACTACAAAGTCAATCATCGATGACCAATGATAGACAAACTATGACTAGCACAGAAGTCCAACAACAGAACACCGCTCAAGTTCAGATCAAAGAGGCTGTTCCTCCCAATCACACCTCTACAAGTCACACTGTCATTACCCACGTGGTCATTGAAGTCCCCCAGCAGAATCAAGGAGTTCCCAGCTGGCGCACCTTCCAGCACCCCCACCAAGGACTCCAAGGCGGCTGGATACTCTGAACTGCAGTTTGGCGTGTAGGCACAAACAACAGTCTGAGAATGACCCAATGGCGAAGGGAAGCCACCCTCTCATCTACCGGGGAAAACTCTAACACACAGGCAACAAATGGGGTGACTAAAAGTAGACCCACATCAGCTTGGTACATCTTACCATGGGCAACTCCAGAGTAGAATAAGTGTAGTCCCTCTCAAGGAGATTGGTTCTGGAGCCCATGCTGTGTACTGAGGTGAGCCCAACTATATTTAGTCGGTACCCCTCAACCTCACACACAAGCTCAGGCTCCTTCCCCACCAGAGAGGTTACATTCCATGTCCCAAAAGCCAGCTTTGGTAAGCCAGGGTCAGACCGCCAAGGTCCCTGCCTTTGACCACTGCCCATGGACCCGACTTGTATGGCCCCTCCTGCAGGTGGTGAGCCCACAGGGAGGCACACCCATGTTGTTCATTCGGGCTAAGCCTGACTGGGTTCCATGGATAGACCAGGGCACCAGGTGATCGCCGACTAGCCCCTCCCCCAGGCCTGGCTCCAGGGTGGGGCCACGGTAATCCACATCCGGGCAAGGGACACTGCTTTTTTCTGTCTATAAGAGTCTTCCGTTAGGTTTATTGTCCCTACTGGACAATTTATTGTAACAGACCATCTGCATGTATAATGTATATTTATTCATACCTAAACACACTGCATATATTATGATCTTTATCTACTTGAATTGATCTATGTGAAGATCTCAGAGATCACTGACTGAACCTCTGCCACATGAAAGGGAGATAGAACAGTGTAAGAGGATATAAAATGCATTCCACAGTATGTGCACATTCACAGATTAGGGTTGGAAGTGCGTGTCTGTTATACGCGAGTTAGGAACAGAGGACTCGAAGGTGATATGTTCAGACAAGTGGTCCTGCATCAGTGCTCAAGAACAGCACCAGTAGTTTCCAGCTGACCCTTCTGTAGCCTACAAGGCTTTTCACTCAGTCAGGCAGAAAGAGGAGAGAAAAGAAGCAACCACATCCGTCCTAGAAGAGCTAATGGGAAAGTGATACACAGACAGTGACCTGGAGAACAATACAACTCTGCTTGTCCTGTGGGTTGCTGGCAGGCTCGGAGAAAGGAGATGGAGGAGCATCGACTGACTCATTTAGCTGGAACTCATGAGTTGGGCGTGTGGGGATTCAAGCTGGTGTCCATATGTGGGAGGACAGGCTTTGCTTTTGCACACGTTTCATCATATTTTAAAAGCAACAAACTGTATTAGCATTTTTAAAAACTGACAAATGAGCTGAGGTTTCCCAATGAAAATTCAAGTTGTTAAACATAAAGTGAATTTTAAGAAACTCTATATTGTGTTTGTTGCTTAGACATAAATCTAATATTAGCAGTGTTTATCTAATGCTTTTAAACAATTTCTTCTAATATTGTTTTAGTTTATTTGATATCCATAAAATGTCAATATTCTACCTTTTGAGAAAACAAAATAAATAAAAGATGAAAAACAGGTCCTAGCTTAACAGAAAAGGAAAGGCAAAGCGAACACTTTCTCTAAACTAAAACTATTAAAAAAAAAGTTAAAAAAAAATACAACTTTGCCGTTTAAACACATTTTGATCATGTTGTTACGTAGTCCACATTTGATTTAAGCAAATAAATGAAAATTCAATACTTAATGTTGTAATCTTAAAAAAAATGTTTCTTAGTGATGAGCTACAAACCCCGTGTTTGCCATAAATATTTGTTTTAACAACGAACTCCCCAACAGTTCATCTTCAAATTACCATATATGAAGAATATAAGGTGTGTGGGTTTTACAAAGCTGTATACACACTTGTCTGAATTTGAGGTGCCCCTGCGTTTTACAAGTGTTTTCAGTTTCTTTCTACTAAAATGTTTGCAGGCCCTGATGAGAAAATCTTACTTCACAGAGATGAAACCCTTCAGCTGAGCAGAGACTCTGAGGAGCTTGCAGTGGTTAAAGATATAGCTGATGTTTGTCAGAACTATTTTCTTCTTATACAGTTTCCCAACTTCGAAGTCCTAAAATAGATAATTTTGATTCAGACATACTTTAAGTATGCGTTTTTTTTAAAAAGTAATGCTTTTCTGAAAACGTAGGAGTGATACCTTGAAAGAGAGGACTTCTGGTTTACTGACAAATGGAGGCCCTTTGGACTTTTTTTCATGAACTTTTTTAGAAGTCACGTTTAACTTTCTACAGCTGGTTGTGTCCGGTTCATCTTCCTGTGCCTCTGTTTGCAGTGCTGTAGCCTTCTCAGAGACAGGCCTCTGGAACATAAAAACAATCAAAGCAGAGTTAAATATGTATATGTAACTTTATTTAATTCAGCATGCCAGTGCAACAGTTGTTTTCTTTCTCACAAACAGCAAGACTTAAAAAAAGTGATAACTTTTTGTTCCACTTGGTTGTTTGGTCTTTGTCTTATGTATTAAGACTTCTCTAATAAATGGTAAATGGACTGTACTTATATAGCACCCTTCTATCTTATCAAGACACTCGAAGCGCTTTACAGTACAATCTGTGCCTCATTGACCCATTCATACAGCACTCTAGTAGATCTCTACAAAGCTAATTGAACAAATCATTCTAAAAAGACTAATCAGAGCTTTATCACATTCATTCACTGATGGGACACACATCGGAGGCAATGAGGGGTTCAGTGTCTTGCCCATGGACACTTCGGCATGTGATTGCTGGTGGATTCGAACCCCCAACTCTTGCATTGGAGGATGACTGCTCTAACCACTCAGCCACACCTGCCCCACTACAAAACAGGAAACATTTTTTTGTTGGGCATGAGTCCATAATTTGTTCTTTACATGACTATTCTCACAGTCATAAAAATGAATGATTAAATATTTGTTTGTCTACAATAAAAATGTTTTTTTGTTTTCTTCCCATCATTGCATTCTTTATTGATCTGAGATTCAGCATAAATGTTAACTAATTAACAAATGAGGCATTTTTAAAATCAGATATTTCTGAGAGGATTTTCAAGATGCAATTTTTCAAATTTCTAATTTACCAGTGCACATACCAGTAATATTGTGTAGTATATAAAAATCTAATAAACATGTATTTTAAATGCATGATGATGTCTATTTTCATGTCTCAAATTAAGAAAAAATAAAATAAATAAAATAAATTCAGTAGTCCTTTAACTACAACTATTGTAAAATTATTGTCTAGTCAGAAAAAACAACAATATGTCATTCACATGTGACACAGTCTACACTGAAATACAGACACCCTTTGATAAACTGTAAAACATATACATTTTATCAACATGTCTAAATAAAATCATGGCTCAAGAAATTATTTTATTCAAAATTAAGTATATTTTTTCCCCATTTGTATAGTTTGGTTCTTCAAAAGTTGAAGCTTAGACATTCATTCATCATACGTCTCATTAGTTTTGTGCATTCAATTCAATTCAATAAAAAAAACCTTTATTAATCCAAAAGGGGAAATTAAATGTTGTAACTCGTCATCCTGGCTTCATTAAAGAGTTGTTACAGATGCTGATGGCTGTAGGCAGGAAGGATCTCCCGCAGCCGTTTATCCCACAACGGATCCAAAGAAACTGTGAAAAAACTGCATCACTGTACTTGTACCCTACTGGACAGTATCCAGATGAGGGCATTAGTCTGATCTGTACGTTAGGAGGAGAAATCATTTCTACTTGACTTGTCGCTGGCTCTGTTCTCTGAGCTGTATCACTGCGTTCACTCTATGGAGACACCAACTAAATGAGAAGTGATGGCTGTCGCCTCACATTTCAGCTATGTGAAAGTGCCAACTCACCTCCATGATGGCAGGCTAATGAAAAACACTCAACATGTATATAAAAGTACATATAGCTTAAATACATTTATAAATACTGCATACCTTTATACACACGACCTCCCATTTAAGAAAATGTGTCCAAACTTTTGATAGTTTATATTCAATAAATATTTAGGCTCTTGTTATAAAAAATCTTACTTTGATTCTTTAATATTTTAATTATTTCACACAAAAGTATAAGTAGAAGCCCTGCAGAACTCAGATTGTTGAGACTCTTGTCACTTCCTCAATGTTGAACCATGATTGTTACCAGCTGTGACAGCCTGGCTGGCATTATTTTTCACCTTGTGTATCAGTGTGTGTGTGTGTGTGTGTGTTTGAGTGTGTGTGCCATCATTGGAAAATGTGCGCTTGGTGACACCTGCTGTAGCAGAAACTGCCACAAAGGTGGTTTTTAATACTTTGGTATGTGCTGTTATATTTATCTGTCTATCTTTGGCAGATTCTGTCAACACAGTTGTGTCCAAACTGTGGCAGACACAGTCACAGAACTGTACAGGTGTGTAGTTTAGATCAAATTGACAGCTGTCTTCGAGCAAGGTTTTTGTGTCTAACTGAAGTGTACTGATAATTTATTAATGAAGTCAGGACTTCTGAGTGTTCAAAAGTTGAAACTTTAACATACGGACAGGCATCATAGTTGGTGTGATCCCATCACAGGATTGTCTACCTGACTTTTGCACTTGTGCTATCTCAGCTGACACATGCTGCCATTGCTTCTCTTTTCACCTGCCAGAAATAAGCTTCGCTGTGACGTTCATTTCACTTCCCTTCCTGATTTGACCATTCTTATGCACACAGCTTCACCACGTACCAACAGTTCCTGCTGCACTCCGCAAAATAATTATGTGACTGCTGAAAGGTACATGATTTATGACTGTTTAAATTTAGCAACTTGTATGAATTTGCTTTTTGTTCCAAGTGGCTGTTGTTGTAGCACACCTTGTAGTGTTTTTCCCACAGGCCGGTGAATTCAGGCTCAACAAGGCAGTCAGCGAGGCTCTTGTGGGCTACAGATTCCTGAAAGTTTTCACTCATTTCCTCCAGGTCCTCGGCATCAGAAGAAGTTGATGAATAGCTCCTAATGTCACTTGACTTTCTGAAATGCTAGACAATTTCACAGAATCACAAACAGAACTAATGTACAATCAAATTCAACAATGTCATCTCAGGTCTTGAGAAGGTCCCTTACGGTTGTTGCCGTCTCCTCAGCAACCGATGGGAAGAAAGGATCAAGGTAGTACATGAGCCTCTCTCTTTTCCTCCTCAAAGATGAAAACTTGTTACTGGTTGAAGGTTTAAGAGGCAACACTTGGCTCTTGTTTCTGCTCTTCATCAACTGTTCCTGCTGAAGAATTTTTGTAACAATTGCCACCCTCTTTGACTTCTGGCTCTCCTCAAACTTCCTAGGAAGTGTAAATCAACAACACTGCATTATGCTGAAATGGGGTCATGGATTCTGCTGCACACAGAGAAAAAACACCCACGCATTGCTGCATGGAGTGGGAGTAGAGGACATACATGTAGCAGAGGAGAGAAGATAGGAGAGGACGTACTCTTGCTTTCGTTTCGTCTCCTCCAGTTTGTTCAGCTGGTACATATGTTTAAAACTGTTGATGCCCTGGGTCTGCAGAGATTCTCCGAGTTGTCTTTCTTGTTGCTCTTTCATCTGGGCGTCTGCTTTGACTCTGTTTTGTTGAATCCGTAGACTCTCCTTAAGCAACAAAGCTTAATGAATAAAGCTATCAGATACAGACTTAAAATAAATAGCTTGTATGAAGTAGGAGAAATGTGTTGAATAGAAAAGTGTAGAAAAATCAGAATGTCAAGAATATAAAACCTGTCAGCAATAAGACACAAAGTAAAAAAAAAAAGATGTTTTCTTCTTTTATTTCTAGGAGAATTTGGAGCAAACAATAAAATCCAATCCAGGTCCAGTTTATAGGATGTATCGTGTATTAGACATATTGTAGTCAAGTATAATGAAACAATTAAGACACTTGATTGTAACCAGGTATAACAACCAAAACACAAAAAATATATATTTTGTTTTATTAGTGTTTAAAAAAAAGCATGCAGTTACCATAGCATTGAAAATGTACACTAAATTATTTTCAGCACAAATCTAATTAGTCTAATAGCATCAATGTCTTTTTATAATATTTACTAGTTCCATTTTTCTTCTAAAAGACTGTTTACCTTCCAATTATCTGCCAACATGCAAAGGATATGCCAATTATTTATAAAATTAATATCCATCAGAATACATTTCAGTACTGGTAAAACAACCATCATAATGTGTTTATTGTGAGTATTGTGCATTTATTGTGCTTACTTGGTTGGCTGCTATGTTGGATTTCAGGGACATAACAGCTTGCATCTTCTTTTCTATTAACTCCCTGTTCTGTTGCTCCTTCTCAGCTGCTTGCTGGTGCATTCTAGAAAAAAAAGTAAACAACTATTGTTTAAAATGTAATATACGGAAAACAGCACATTATTATTTCTCCAATAATTTTCTGTCAGGTCATCTGGACGGTTTCTTTTTTTGTGCTGAGACGTTTTGCCTTCCATCCAGAAGGCTTCATCAGTCTGAGGAAACACCAAACAAAACTGCTTCTCCCCCAACAGCTTACTCCAAAGTGGAAAAAACCAGTTATGTTGGTGCTAGGATGGTCTTTGGGTCACGTCCTCTCCTCCGGTACCCGCCCTCTCCCTCGTCGACAGTCATGTCAAACTGGTTCAAAACTCCATGTCAAACTGCTACTCCACTTTGGAATAAGCTGTTAGGGGAGAAGCAGTTTTGTTTGGCGCTTCCTCAGACTGATGAAGCCTTCTGGATGGAAGGTGAAATGTCTCAGTACAAAAAAAGAAACCGTCCAGATGACCTGACTGAAAACAGTTGGATTTTATACCTGGATTATTGAGCATGGACTTTGGGATTATTATTGCTCAACATCGAAAGTTTCAATGTCGAGCAATAATTTTCAACAAAGTCATGACAAATATTTGATATTTTTAAATTTCCAAATAGTTTTCATAATAGGTTTTCATAGAATAGACTATAATTAAACATTTATCAAAAAAAAAAAGTTAGACATATAACACAGTTTTAGGCTGGATTTTTTTATTTATTTATTTTACTTTATTTTGAGTAGATTTGGACTATGTGATCTTCATTAGCTTCTTATTTTATGTTTCAAGTTGTCACTGGTCAAGTGAATTTGATTCCTGATCTTTCATACATTTTGTCTAATAAGTTGTTTAGGAGCCAATATGCATTAGTTTAGGATTTTGGTTACACCAAGTTTGACTTCTATTATTCTTTTTCACATGTGATAAGCTAAACATTCTCATCAAAAACATTGGTATATCAATATGTACTTTTCAGTGTCATGTCTGCTCTACAGTGTATATACCATGCCAGTGTAAAAGTGAATGATCAATAGGACAAGATGAATCTCCAATAAATCTTTGAGGACAATACATTTGTTCCATTATGATACAGTTCATGGTTTACCAGCTGATTACCTTTTAATTGTCTGATTCAAGTACTTGGCAGCTGTCTTCTGGCATTGTCGACCCTCCTCAGTTTTCCTCTGGCATTCAGTTTTCTCCCTTTTTAGCATGTCTTCCTGTTTACTATTAAAGCACAATCACAGATTATCACAAATTGAAAATAAAACACAGTAAAGTCTGTGTGTGTACGTGTAAAAAATAGCAGTAGAAAAATGCTATGTGAATGGTAGTCATTGTTACTGTTCCTACTCCCTGAGCAGCTTTATGTTGTTCTGCAGGTTCTGGCCAACTTTCCTCTCGTGCTGCAACCGTTTCGCTGCCTTCTGGGCTTTAAGGTCCTGGAAATCCTGCTCTTCCTCCTGCACCACCTGCCGAAGCGAAGAAACCATGCCAAGCTCCACTTCCACTCCATTCAGTTCCAGTCTAAGGAGCAACACAATACAGTTGAAAGCAAAAGAAAATTAATTAAAATTGATCTAAATTTGAAATTTGGTTCTTGAGTGCTCAGAAGACTGAAGAGAAGAGAGTGCTCAAAGTTTATAAAGCTAATTTTATGTTTTTATTATTGTTTTCTGAACAATTTGTATTTATTCCCTATTTGTTAAAGCTGTGGTTGAATCAAAAGAAATGAGAGAACTGCTTTTGTAAAACAACAGTAATGTGTTTAAAAATAGACATGACGATCTATCTTTATCTAGAACTCACTCTTGTTGTCTTAGTTCAGTGTGGATTTGGCCCTCCAACTCTTCCTCATTTTGTAGCTGTTGACACAACTGTTTGTGCTGGGCTCGCAATCGAAACAACGCCACACTGCCAAATAAAATAAGCAAAGAGTAAAATAAATGCAAAAGCTAGAAAAATGTAACTTTCTATTTAATCAAGATACTCAAAGTGCTTTACACTACAATCTGTGCCCTCATTTACCTCCACACATACAATCATACAAATATCATATACATGCTTAAAAGGACAAACACGTCACTGTTTTTTATTCTGTTTCATTAATTTTTTTGTATGTTTAAATAAAATAAAAAAACTTACCTGTTGTCCTTTACTTTCTGTTGATCAATTTCCCTTTCCAAGTTGTCCCTCTGCTCCAGCAAACTTTCAACAGTCTGATGACAGAGTTTCAGCCTCTCCCTAGAAAAAAACAAATAAGTTAATGTATATTTTTGAGGCAGTTCAATTGGAATATCTTCATGAACATCAAGGAAATGGATTTTTTGTAGCCACTACAACATAAAGGAGCTCATTTAGTAAAATAATAAAGCAGTTCAACAAAGATATTAAGAAGCGACAAAAGGATATCCTCATCTCCAAAGCTCTGAAATACCCAATGTTCTTTTTCAAGCTAATAGTGTGGAAAACAACTATCTGTGTTTTGGGAGAAAGACTGTCCTGAATAGAAATAGTTGCACACTGTAATATAAGAGCTGTATATTGGTTAAAAGCCAGGTGTTGTTAGGCTCCATTAAACTGATGTTTATTCACAGAGCACTAAAGCTCCATGCTGACCATTGTTGCTTAGCACTGAAGGATGATGACTGACAATTTTGATGGGGACTGCATCACAGTTCATCAGGCGCCTAATGGTTCACATTGAAGACAAATAAAAAGAGGGAAGAAAGGTGAGGAGAGAGGACATTATGGGAAATGTTCGCTCTTCAGCTGAAATGACTTCCCACAAATTGCTGAATCAATTGGCACAGAAATGATTGGCTCTGTGTGACAAGAGCAAGCAAGAAAAGAGAGTAAATAGGGAAAAAGAATCAGAAAAAAATCGTACAAAACTGAAAACATACAGCAAAGACTTGTGTCAAAACCAGGCAGCATTATTTATAAACAGGTTTCTGAGGAGTCCAGGAGGCACATAAAATTTTATCAGGGTTAAAGAGGCACTTCAGCTTTGGAAATCTGTTGTTGCCAGGTTCAAACCTGGCTGTTTGCACGTCACGCTCCTTCTGTCGGTGAAAGCAGTCCAGCTGGTCCAGGTTTCGTCTCAGCTTGAACATCCGTGCTGTCTCGGTATAGCTCATCTTCTTGCCAGTATCAACTTTAAGCACAAGGTCATCATCATCATCTTCACTCTCACTTGGGGCAGATGAAAAAAAACATAAAAACAAGGCTAAAATTAAATTGAATTCAAAATCTCTCTGGCATGTTATGTGAATAGGCAAAAATATACTACTGTTGTGCTTGTGGCGACTGCAAGTCCTCATGTATGATGTAGAAAATATGAACAATTAATAATGAAAATAAAAGGTTAATATAAAATTTTATTGTTTTTATTTACAACTTCACACTTATAATTCGACGGAGCCACAGGGATATTTATTACAAAACTAGAGAGAAAGGATGCGGCATGGTGGGGCAGTTGGTAGAGCTGCTGCATCTCAGCAAGAAGGTTGCCGGATCAGATCCCGGTCAGGAACCTTACTGGGTGGAGTTTGCATGTTCTCTCTCCGCATGCGTGGGTTTTCTCCGGGTACCCCGGTCTCCTCCCACAGACTAAAAACATGCCTGTTAGACTGAGTGGTAACCAAATTATCCTTAGGTGAGAGTGAGAGTGTGAATGGTTGTTTGTCTCTATGTGTCACTGTGATGGACTTGCGACCTGTCCAGGGTGTACCACACCTCTCGCACAGTTACTGCTGGACATGGGCACCAGTGACCCTCGTGACCCGAAAAGGAAAAAGTGGGTAAAGATAATGGATGGATGGATGGAAAGGGAACAGATGATTCAAGGCTAGAAAATTATTATTATTTTACTATTTTTATCTCATATGGGTGATATAAATTGAAAAATACCCACTCAAACAATACTTCCAACCATTCCAAATCAGAAAAAAGAGCTGCTTTTTCATCTTTAAATGTCTCCTGTCTTGGGCAACCTGAAACACATTTCAAACAGGTGTTGATATTCATAGTTCTCTAAATTCAGGTCAAATTATTATTATTTTTTTTTAAACTTTATGTCAATAGAACTAAAGGCTGAGCAAAGAACGAATGGGTGCCACCTACAATAATTTGCAAACAGGCTGTAACAAAATCTCACCCTCAGTATTCTCATCACTGCTGTCGTAAACATCCAGAGACAGAGACTTCTCAGTCATATCATCAGATGAGCTTTCCTTGTCTTCAGCATCCATTTTAGCCAGTTATTCCTGAAAAACAAAAGCGCACCTTTAAGGTCGAAGGAAGCTTAAAGTTGAGTCTTTTAGGAATGCTTAACAATAGGTTACAAAAGATGTTAAATAGCATTAAATTATTAAACACACAACGGTCCGAGTTAGCTAGCTAGATAGCTGGCTAACGCCCAAGTTAAACTACGACAGTAAACTTTGTTTAACTGGGAAACACTAAAAGTAAAAATAGAAAAATATAACGAAAAACCAACGGCGATTTAAAGTTTTATTGCGTTTACAACTTCTGCGATCTCATAATGAATTTTTCAGCGAAACATGTACCTGTTTGAACGAGGGTCACGGTATTACCTTTCCTTTCTCCAAGTGATAAAAAAAAAAAATACTGTTACCATGGAGACGGGAACGCGGAGGGGGCGGTCCTTAACGCTTCCTTTGCAGTCAGCTCAGAAAACAGACAGATAGATAGATAGATAGATAGATAGATAGATAGATAGATAGATAGA